CTATTTAGTTATTTGTTTATTTTAAATATGTATTTATTATTTGTTTTTAAAGACTATTTATTTATTTATTTATTTTTAATTTAAAGCTTTATTTATTTATTTATTTATTTTTAAAAGTTTATTTATTTGGTCATTTTAAAGCTATTTATTTTAAAAGTTAATTTATTAAAAAAAAAAAAAAACTACATTTAAACATCAGGTTTACTTTGAAACAGATACCACTATGCAAGTAAAATGGACTGTGAATTCATTTTGTGTCGACTTGTTGTTTAGCATGAAGAACCTTCCATGACGGCCACACTTTCATTCTGAGCTGTAAAAACAACAACAAGCTATATTTAGATCAGAATTTGAGTGCTAAATTGCATTCCCTTTCACACACATTCACAAGCTAGCCACATTAAGCAGGACAGGTTTAGACCTGCGCTCCCTGCGACTGCAGCACCAGCCAATTATAAGTCAGGGAGGCACGGATGCTCGAGTTTGTCGCCTAGCAACCAGGCAGGAGCATAACGTAGGAGGCAGCAGTGGAGCCGGCTCTATCTGGCATCGTCTGTCCCTCTGTGCCACCAGCCAATTACGGCTCATACTGGCAGGGGAGGATGCAGTTGCCTGGCAACCGGAATGTTACATGATACACGTATGTACAAGTGGATATATGTGCGTATGCGCGGTGGGAATGAAAGTGCATGGACGAGGCTAGCGGTGTAAGCTGAAACTAGTGCCGAGACCCGAGAATCGTTCCCAATTATAGAGTCCCGTTCAGAGACACACCAGTTGCCTGGCAACTCCCCACCCCCATCACACAACCTTTCCTCTCTCACACACACTTTTTCTCTCTCTCTGCACCCTTACAGGTGCCAGAGTCTTGCTTAATTACATTTTCTCAGTTAAACTGCGGACAGAGAGACTCATTATGATCTGTGCGGCTCACGGCGGCACCAAGCAGAAAGCCATTTTCTGCCTTTCACCGCTCTTCCAAGTTTTTTACGAATCAGACTTCGTTATAATGGAAAGCAGAGCAACAGACAAAGTGGAAACGAGTGCCGCCACGTTCCTCTCTTCACCCCTCTGCATCTCCCTGAAAACCCACTCTTATCTCGTTCCCGAACGCCATTCATAAAACGCTCCAGAGGGCAATGTCATTTCCATTCACGCCGCCTTCGTTTCTGTACAAATTTCAATCACAGAATTTGTCCAAGTAATAACGCCTCCGAAATAGGATTTCGCTAATTGCAAACGAGTTGACGAATCGCTTTGGCATCAGATTTGAACGCAGCTCATTTGCTGCTTTGTTTTTTGGACGAATGCAATACGGAAATACAGAAATTGCTCAAGGAATACAGCTAATGAATTATGCAGTTTTACTTAGCAAAAAGGAATTAAAATTTGCATTATTGTGTCAAGCAAGCACAACAGCACAGTTTAAACAGATTTTTTCTGCAAAAAGTATATAATATAATATAATATAATAATATGTTTTTGAGTAAAATCATCTAAACATTCTATAATATATTGTTTGGTATCTGAGTTTAATGCAACTCATTGCTTCTTTCCTTTTTTTGGATAAATGCAATATAGAAATTGAGAAATTGATCAAAGACTACAGGGCTAATGAATAATTCCATTTTAATTCGATTTTTTTGCGAAAAATATATTATATTATAATGGATTTTGATATTTCATAAATATGTACAGATATGTAGCTCTCAAATATTATTTGTGTTCCAACTTCCAATATATTTAACATATGTTGTCTCATTCACATCAAACATGGTGTGACACGTCAAGCTTGACTATGCACAAATTAGATTTAAGAACTATGGTGGACAGAAAGATTTTCAGAGAATTCTTACTTAAAGCTACTATAAGACTTCCGAAAGCTTGGAAAGTGCAGAAGTCACGTCAAATACTTTTATGGTGCTTTCTTGTCCTTTTTGGACTTTGAGAAGGCGTCCTGGTATTCTTGTGCATTCTGGACCGTCAATCCTCGTGTCATAATATATACGTCCTAAACACTTTCTAATAAATACATCAGAAGGGAGCCATTAACATGTGGCATGTTCTGGTTTCAAGAAATGGGGATCTGCTCTGGTGTGTTAACAGGCGTGCAGCAGACATAGGGAAATATACAGGCGAGTACATCTCATTCCAGCCGGTCCATCCATCATGAGGCAGTTATTCACTCCGTGGACAGCTTTGGGACAGCAGTCTGAGTGCTTTTGGATTGAGATCGAAGAGACAGAGAATTATGGCCATTTCCTGCACCATTCGAATCTGCTGAGGAAGTACTGTCGCAACCTTGAGAAAATGTTTGCCGCCGAGGGGCCGGACAGGAATGCTGCCATGGCGACGACGAAGTACCATTAATTACATCAGCTTGTCGCTTATTGTGTAAAATAAGATTGATTTAGTGAAATAAGAAAATTAATGATAAATGTGGTGGAATTGACTAAGTATTTCTACATATATCAAGTTATTACTGTAAGAGCAGGTTAAGTGTTTATAGCTGCAACTAAACTAAACACTTTATTAGATTAACATACACACATATACATATACACACACACACATATAAAGCTCATTCTGAAATATGTATGTATGTATGTATAATATTGTTTGAATGAATGATTCCATGACTCACTCAAATAATGTCACTTGTTTCATTCCTGTATGATTTAGTTTTTCAGAACAAATCGGTTGAATGAATGATTCAATGCCTCACTCAAATGCAGTAATTTGTATCGTTCCTGAATAAATCAGTGTTTTAGAACAAATCAGTTCTACAAATGATTCAATGACTCACTCATAAAGAAAGTCACTTGTTTCATTCCTGAATGAATCAGTACTTCTGAACAAATCAATTCAATAAATGACTCAGTGACTTACTCATAAATACAGTTAATCGTTTCAATCAGGTTTTCAGAACAAATCAGTTGAATGAATGATTCACTCAAATGTAGTAATTTGTATTGTTCCTGAATAAATCAGTGTTTCAGAACAAATCAGTTCTACAAATGATTCAATGACTCACTCATAAATACAGTTAACTGTTTCATTCCTCAACAAATCAGTGTTTTTTAATTACTCAGTTAAGTGAATGATTCGCTGACTCATTAATTCAAAGCCGGTCTACTTGCCACCTACTAGGGAACTTTGCAATATGCAGGACAAGTCACTGAAAAATGGGAAAACATCAGCACAATAATCACTGCAAATAATTAGTGAATTACAAAAATATATTCGCCTACCTGTATGTGTCCTCTGATGTGCCTTCAAATGTGAACTCTTGGTGTAGACCTTCCGACACCCGTTGAACTGGCAGCGATGGACCCTCTTCTTGTTCTCTGCCATCTCGCCAGCTCCCATGGTGCAGGTGGCGCCCTGTTCCCCATCGCTCTGTGCTCCGCTGCTGCCGTGCTGGGGAGAAGGTGGGACCGGGTGGGCCACCACGAGCTTGGCAGAACTCAAGCCCACCTTTCGGGCCACTAGCTTGAGCGTGAGGGTCCCGTCGGGCGAGGCACTGAGTGTGTGGGTGGGTTTGACTAAGTGACGGCCCAGTTCTGGGGACGAGGGAGGTGTTAGGGAGGTGACGGCGTTCAGCTGGGCTGCGTTGACCCCTAAGGTGATGTCTGGAGAGGTCACAGTAGAGGAAGTGGAGGAGAGAGTTTCTTTGCGTGGGGTGAGGCGAGGAGGAGGACTGGGGGGGTTGTTGAGGCTGGGTAGGAGGGGGTCTAACAGGTCTTCATCCGCATCTTCCTTCATGAAGGAGGGGGTAAGGAGGCCATCTAGTTCCTCGTCAAAAAGGTCAGACAGCCGTTTGGGTTCCGTCTGCAGATAGCGTTCCAACTCCAAACATGTCTGTGGAAAAAGATTTAGGTGTTTTTATTGACCTGAACACTGCAAATGATTTGCCATTCTTGTACACGCAACACCTACACATCATAAATGGCACAATTTATTAATATAACCTTTATGTAAAGCATTTGTAAAACCATTCTTACATAGATTATTTTTGTCGTTCCATTGACACAAAATGGTACAATTTAATGTCAAGACTTCATAAAAATATAAGACTTCAATAATTTAATAATTTAAATTAAATTTAAAAACTTAATGTAAAGCATTTGTAAAACCAATCTTGTGACAATCCATACTTACGTAATTTTTTCCCCTAAATTGTACATGGTTTTTCAATTAAATTTTATAATGTGTCAGTGACCTAAAACCATTCAGATTTGATTATTATTAGTATTACTATTATTATTATTTGTAAAATGACGCTTGATTTGCAGTTCTCTTCATATAAAACGTTAAGCATTCGTAAACCATTCTTATGACAATTGTTTGTAAAAACCATACTTATGTATGTTTTTTTGTAAACTGACACATACATTGCTTACTTTATTCACAAAACCTTTATGTTAAGCTTTCGTAAAAACATTCTTAAATTAATCATCCCTTAAACAGTTTTATTTGTAAATTGTCACCAAGAATGCAATACATTTTTCGTAAAGCATTCTTACATTGTTCATAAACTGTCATAAAACAAAGCCATTTTTACAGAAATCATTCATAAATCATTTGCATAAAACAATTTATGTTAGAATTACATCCGTATTTGCACACATTTATTGTGCTGGTTTCATGATTTAGTCATCAGTCATAAAACTACTTTACATCCTTTAGGTGCTAGTAATATGGCCTCAGTCCTGTCACTGAGATACATCTAAAATGCAGTTGTTACTTGACACCAGATCCATTTCTTCTTTTAATATCACTTTAAATATAACATTTACACTTTGTTTGAACCTATTAAACAACTCAAGCAATTAAATGAAAGATAAAATCATCCAGGCTAATCTAACTCATTAGCGCTGCATGTAAAGTAATGTGATTTTTCTTCAGACTAACCCCTTTCTGGACTGTTAACTGGGTACTGAGACTGCTACTGCATATCATTTGCTTCAGCAGGTCTTCAGGAATAGATGGTTACACTGTGATTGATTACACAGGCTAGACTGGAGCTCTCTGGAGCTGAAGAAACAGACCTGGCCTGAATTGCTTGTTAGAGCGCTTTATGTGGAGCAAAACTGGCTCTTCAAACAGAAGGGGAGAGAGAGAGAGTGTGTGTGAAAGAGAAAGAAGCCATCAGACTTGGATTCTTCCATTTTGGATGGGTTTTTATATTTCAGTCTAAAGAATTGTGCACAGAACAGCAGCGTCAACACAATACGATTTAATGGCAACTTATGAGCCGCTTACTACTCTCTTAAGATACTTCAAGGTGCCATATAAAGGACAATAAAATTTTCTTTGTTTTGAAATGAAACAACACAAAACCTCTTCCAGTGTACACTGTTTTAAAACTGTAAACTGCTTAAAAAAACTGTAAAATGCTCTTTTTCGACTGCTACACGTCATATATGACCTTATTAAAATATTGGGTAGAGCCCACGTCAGACTGTGCACCATTAACAGTCTTTTATGACTGTATGCTATATATATTTACTAGTGCTGTCAAACGATTAATCATGATTAATCGCATCCAAAATAAAAGTTTTTGTTTACATAATATGTGTACTGTGTATATTTATTATGTATATATAAATACTATTAAAGGATATTGAAAAAAAAAAAACACTGGAAGCAGAAAGATGGTAATGCAAAATTAAATTACAAAAACAAACTAATAATTCCCCCAAACATAATTATAACCAAATAAATAAAATTTTTGTGAATATCACTAATAATAAAGGATGGTAGAAAATTGATGCAAAAAAAAGCTATGCAATACTAAGTTACAAAACAAACAACAACAAATAATAACACACACACACACACACACACACACACACACACACACAC